ATTGGGACTCGGACTTTATGCTTTTGGACCAGGACACTCGCTGCGGAGGGGATCTCCGCTAGGACGTTTTATCAGACTTTACCGCACAGTCCGCCGCCTGACTCGCACCTTATACACCACTCAATTCTCTCTTGCATTTCGTTGTACACCTTGAATCTGATTTGCTGTGTTTTCAGAGCTGAGGCTGGCTAGGCTTGGGAGGACCCCATACGTAGTCAGTCCAAACTGTGTGGCTGGATCAGATCTCTCTGATCTTTTCTTTTTTTGTTGTTTTGACTGCTCTCCAGTCCAAATGAATTGCCGCTCCGGCTAGGAGTTCTACCTTCTTTTCTGAATGATTTCAAGCTGTTTCTTTCATTAGGTTCATTAATGCCTGCGTCTACACGGTCGCAAACGAGAGAGAAGAGAGAAGTTATTGAGTGTTGCTCTTGAGGGAGTGAGGAAAGGGAAGAGGAGTGTTCGTCGCAAAGCTGAGAGGAAGTACGGACCCCTCTTGAGAGTCTTACTGACACCCTCATCCTCCATCATGACATCTGGAGCAGATTGGAAACTGCAGATGGACGCTGCCCCTGAGGCAGAAAAACCGCAGTATCAGTTCTTTTATGAGAAAGCCTTGAAGAGGGAGGAGGAAGAGAAAGAGAGAGAGAGAAGGGATAAGGTGTAGGCTCACGAGGCCGTCCTTAGCACCGTGTCCGCTCTGACTGATGAGGAGGTAGAAGAGAAAACAGTTCCCCTCCTCAGAGCCTTAGCAGGGGTCCGGGTTGCTGAGGACCATACTGGCCAACTCGCACAGGTGTTTAAGCAGCTCAAGGAGTTGCGCGAAGACATGGCCAAGATGGCGCAGCAGCACCGCGATCAACTGCAACAGTTTGCTAGTTCGCAGCAGGCTCAAATCGTCTCTTCACTCACCTACCCTGCCTCCAATGCTGCGTGTCAGTCCAGTTTTGCCCCTCTGACTACGTCTACTTCTTCTCCTTCTGCTTCTTCTTCTTCTTTGAGTGTGGTTAACAGCCAAAGCGGATCTGCAGCAAGTCCAGACCCCGCTGCTGCTGCTGCTACTGCTGCTGCAGCGGCAAGTGGTGGTGCAGGGACTTCTGGAACTGTTGCAGCCCCGGGCCCGGACCCAGCAATGGCTGGGCCAGGCGGCAACTTTGCTTACATCGACAGGAAGGCGGCGCAGATTCCGTCCAAGTATGACGGAAAGGACGACGTCGAGTCTTGGATCAACTCTATGTGGTCCTACTTTGACGTATTGGGGACACCCCCGTCCACTCAGTCGTCTATCTTGGGGACCAATGTGGAGCCCGTCGTGCGGGGTTTCCTAGAAACCCAAGCTGTCCAATTAGGCTATAAGAGAATAGACCTAAACAAATGGCTGAAGGCTATGCCTACTACCGCACTTGAGGATCTCTTGATCAAGCAATATGCTGATCCACATGCTGCAGCTAAAGCAAGAGTCAAGCTTGACAAGCTCAAGCACAGCAAGTGGACCGACACCATGCACAGTCTGCAGCAGTACGTCAGTAAAATCTTTGCTACTCCGGATCTGGAGATGACTGCGCAGTCTTGCTTGGATGTGATAAAAGGTACGGTCCCCTCTACTATGAAAGATTGCCTAGGGCTCGGGCTCAGCGGATATACAGATTGGCTTACCCTCATGTGGGACTTAGTAAAGCTGGAGGCACAAGACCTCCCGGGTGGATCAAGTGGCAAAAAGGCCACTGGCCGCAAACGGTTTCCAGGCAGCAACCGTTTTGCAGCGCATGATCTGCTTGAGGCCGACGAGGAGACCCTCGTAGAAGAATCTTCTCTTGATGACGATCAAGAGCAAGACTGCGGGGCATCTTGCTCTTTGTCAGCCCATGAGTCTGAGTGTATAAATGACGATGAATCTATGAATGCCTTTAAAAAGACTGCCTTCAAAAGTAAGGGACCGAGGACCACGAT